AAAAAAAAAAAAAAACCAAAACCAAATAAAACAAAACACAGTATCTGCAAAGCACCTTAATGTGAAATACAATAAAACAAGATATGCCTGTAATCAACTTCTTTGTTAGCATACATAGAAATTTGTCAAAACAAAACATCATCAACAGATCCTAGAAAAAAGAATGGAGTTATAACTTCACTTCTAAGATTAAAACTTGGAGTTTTTCTAGAATTATCCAAGGAGGAGTTAACGTTGGTAATGTTTTTCTAAGTAAGAACTTTCCTTTGGCGCCTCAAAAATGTCATCAAAACAACCTGTTGATAATAAACCTGAGTTTATTCTTCCTGTGGTCTTTTAAGGTTTGCAGCCTAATTCCACCTTGATGGGAGTGTCCACACACACACACAACACCAAGCACTTTTCAGACACCAGCAGGATGTCCAAGAATTCAACTCAATTCTGACACCATCTACCCAAAAATAGCATCATATTCCACAGGTTAAGGATTCAGTCCTACAAGACTGCTGTCCATAGTCCACTTCACATGCCATTTTCAAGCCCCAGGCTGTTACCTGTGCTTCTGACCAACTGGCTATAGATTGAACGTTCCGGTGACCTCCTCCTTAGGTTTCATTAATTTTCTAGAGTGGCTTGCAGAACTCAGGGGAGCACTTACTTTCATTTATCAGTTTACTAAAAGATATGATAAAGGCTACAAATCAACAACCAGATAAAGAGAAACATAAGGCAACATCCAGAACAAAGGAGCTTCTGTCCTTGTGGAGCTTGGTGCCTGGCTCTGAGGCACATGGAAGCATGCTAGCTCCCCAGGTGTGGAAGCTCTCTGTAAAAGAAGGACCCAGAAGCTCTTCTTCTTGGGTTTTTATGACGACTTCATTACATAGTCATGATTGACCAATTCATTGGCCACTGGCTGATTCAACCTCAGAGGCTGGGGGAGTAGGACTGAAAGTTCCAACCCTTTTTTTTTTTTTTTTTTAATGTTTATTTATTTATTTTGGGAGACAGAGCAGGGAAGGGCAGAGAGAGAGGAGAGAGAGAATTTCAGGCAGGCTCCGCACTGTCAGCACAGATCCTTATACAGGGCCCAAAATCACGAACCATGAAATCATGACCTGAGCCAAAATCAAGAGTCAAATGCTCAACCAAATAAGCCACCCAGGTGCCACTGAAAGTTCCAGCCCTTTAATCACATGAAAAATCACTTGGTCCTCCTGGAAACGAGCCCCTGCCTTAGGATGGGGTCTAAAAGTCACCATGATTAATAATAAGATACTCATTTCATCCTAAGGCTCTGAGGTATTCTCAAGAACTGTGGATGAAGACCAAATATATCTGAGGAATACAGTTTGGTCTTCTGAATGAACAAATATATATTTCTTATAAATTTTATATCACATACGATACGGGAGAATACCACTTCAACAAAATCA